AGTCTTCATGTTTTAAAATTTTATTTAGGGCTGGGGATTTAGCTCAGCGGCAAAGCGCCTGCCTGGCAAGCGCAAGGTCATGAGTTCGGTTCCTGGTACCAGAGAAAAACCAAAAAAAATAAATAAAATAAAATTTTATTTAAAAAATGTTTTTATTAGTATATGTTTATGACACACACTGAATACATTCCTCGTGGCAAGTATATATATCTACACATACATACATCTCAATCCATTTTAATTCCCTTCCCTCCCTTCCTCCCTCCTCCTTCCATCCCTATGTCCCCTCCCCATCTGCAAAAAGGTCTACCTCCCTGTTCCCTATCATCTGTCTTTTATTTTGCTCTGTAAATTATTTCTGCTTTAGATTTCTCATATAAGAGACTCTATGTGATATTTAACTTTCTGTCTTTGATTTATTTCACTTAGCATTATGGTCTTAAGGTGCATCCATTTTCCTACAAGTGTCTCATATTTATCTTCCTTTATGGCTGAGTAGGTCACATTCATTAAATTAGGGACAATGATACCTGCTTTGTTATCAGAACTGGAAACACATGCAAAATACCCAGATTTGCTCCTGAGCCAACATATTGTCCATAGGCAGTGATAAAATACCTACCATTAATTTTTTTTGATAAACCTATCTTAAAGAGGTCAGGAGCAGTACGGAAACATCTGTAACATTGGAGAAGCCCCACAAATATGCTACCCTTGATTAAGCAGTGATTCTTCCTCTGGGAAGGTCATGGAGCGAGAGGGCATGCAAAGGGGACCTGAAACAGGGACAGGTACCTAGCTAGCCAGCTACTTCAGAGCTGATGCGCTGGGGAGCTGCTGAGCAGTTGGATGTCTCTCACCGCTCTTTCAAGTCACCCTGGACTTTCAGGAGATGGACTGTGCACAGATACAAGTATGGGTTTCCTTCAGGCTTTAAGTCCGAGCCTGCCAAAGATGCAGGGAGTTAAACCCACTTCATTATGATGGGCAGTAAAGGAAGCAGCCGAGCTGGGGAGCCGCCATCTCCCTGGAGAGCAGTAGGGAAGTGATGCTGAGGACCATGGGCTTGAATGAGGCTGCTTATTATGAGTCCACATGGCTGTGGGCTTTGAGACGTTTCTGAACCCCTCTGAGCCGCAGCTTGTAGTCTTTATACATGGAAGGCATGATATGGAGTATTATTTTGCCATGTACAGGCCCTTAGAGGTAATGGTAATTATTAGGTACATTCTTAGACCCTTTAATACAATAGCTCATCAGTTTAGACCCCAAAAAGCACATAAGGTAGATGTCAATACTCTCACGTAAACTCCTTTTGCTCAGCCCCACCATCTGCCTGAGCTCTGCTCTTGCATGCATCCCTCGCCTCCTGAGCACACTCCTATTTGAAGAATAAAGTTTTTTTCACTCTAAAATTTTACATAGTGGCTGGGCATGGTGCTGTGCACCTGTTGTCTCAGTTACGCAGAAAGCTGAGGTAGGCAAATCCTTTGAATTTAAGGCCAGCCTGGGCAACACAGTAAGACCCTGTCTAAAAACATTCTGCATCAGCAGCTGGTAAGCTATTGTGTGTGAGCAAATCCAATGCCTGCTTTTGTAAATAAAGTTGTATTGAAACACAGACGTGCTAGTTTACATGTTGTCCGTACTGCTTCTGTACAACAGTCACCTACTTCAGTAGTTTTTGTTTTGCTTTGTTTTGTTTGTTTTTTTCCGGTACTGGGAATCGAACTCACGACCTTGCGCTTGCCAGGCAGGCTCTGTGCTGCTGACCTAAATCCCCAGCCCCCAACTTGAGTAGTTTTGACAGAAGCTGTACAACTCAAAAAGCTTAAACTGCTCACAGTCAGGCTCTTGGTAGCAAACGTTTCCCAACCTCTGCTCTGATGACCCATAACAGTACTCGCTTCAGCAGCATGTGTACTGATGACCCAACAGCTTGTGCCAGCCACTGGCTTATGCTTCACATCCGAGTTCACCCCCGAGACTCCGTTCCGGGAAAAGGTGTTTTGAGCGTTCTCTACTTGACGGTGAACCCACCAGCAGGGCCACTGCGAGAGGGAGGTGGACGCCTGTTCCGAGGAAAAGGGCTTCTCCTCCCGGCTGCTGGTGCCATGCCCGTGGCCTTTTCTCGATCCTGCAACATGGTTGGTGGTGCAGATGTGTGGGACATCCTGTGGTGCAGATGGTGGTGCAGATGTGTGGGACATCCTGTGGCCCTGTGCCCAAGATGAACGCCCAGAGCAGTCCCTTGGTGACTGCATGGTCCTGGCCTACTGGTGACCTCCCTTCCGTGTCTTTCTGAAGTGGGCACTGTGTGCTCATGTCCTGGTTCATGTGGTGTCTTGACTTCCATCATGGGCTTCAGTTCCCCTGCATCTTTGTCAGTGGCTTTCTGCCTGCCCAGCAGCTGGGGAGCATCTCTGCCAGGGCAGACTTCGCTCTACCCGATGGGCTGCAACCTCACCTTCTCCACGGAGATCAGGACTCTGGTCTTGAGGAAGGTGTGCCCCTTCTGAATTGTCCTTCCTGTGGCTCTCTGCTTAGGCCTTCAGGAATCT